GTCAGACGATTGTAAAGTTGAACTTACTTTTTGCACCAAAAGTAATATTGGATTTAGCATGTTAAGGGACAATATGAAATTAAATGTTTTCATTTGTTTTATAAGGCCACTTGATTTTACTTTAATTTCCGATAAATTAGAAGTCTTCGAAATCTCTGCCAAGCATTGAAGGAGGACTGAATAATTATTTTTCACTGCTTGAAWGGCTTCCGCTCGACAAGCCCATCTTGTTGTAGACAAAGTTTTAAGTGATTTTAGTTTAATATTCATTTCTTTGGATACCCTTTCTAAAATTGCATGTCTAATTGGACTACCTTCCACAAAACTATAAAGCATTTGAATAATACMAAAGAAATTAAATATAACATGATTTTTTTTTCCTAACGAATCGACGAGTATTAAGTTTAAGCAATGTCCATAGCAATGAACATACAATATATTTGATAATTTTGCTTTGGCCTGAACTCCGTTATAATGGCCAGACATTGTTGCAGCACCATCAAAACAAACAGCAATAACTGATTGCCAATCTATCCCGACCTGGTTTGTGGCATCTGTAAGAGCATCGAAAATAGACTGCGCATTTACTGAAGACATTTTTTTAAGCCCAATAAATAGCTCTTGTGGASGATTTTMATTTTCATCAAAGTAACGAACACATATGGAAAGTTGTTCATAATGACCACAGTCAGTTGTTTCATCAGCAATTATTGAGACAGTCCGATTACTTAATTTAGCAGCAATATTTCGTTTCAATACATTATGAATAGAAGTAATGATATCATTTTGGATATGATTACTTAAATAACTAGCATTTTTGGGACAATTTTGTAAGTGATCATTTAATACTGAGTCATACTTTTTTTAAATATTAATCATTTCTAAAAATAAACCTTTAGAAACACTATCTATTTTTTCGTTGTGTCCCCTAAATGGCTTACCATTTTTAGCTAAACATAAGCTTATATCTACTAAACGATGCATTATATTCCTATTGACTAAGCGCTGCATTTCTCTTCTTGAAAGTTCAAGCTCTTGGGATTTATTTAATGCAATGTCAATTGATTGAGAATTTAAAAAAAATGTCATGGATGAAGTACTTCTAATGTGCGATTTAGACATCTGATGAGTTTTGAAACTTGTAGTTGCCACATGCCAATTACTAAATCCAGTTTTAGAGAAAGTTGTATCAGCCTGTCCTACATTTGATCCAGAATTTAAAAACATACGGCAAGGAAAACAAAATGCTTTATCTTTTGATACACTGTATTCCAACCATTTAAAACAATCATACCATTTTTTTTGGAAGCTTCTATAATTTTGACCTATTTTTGTCCTGGGAAATAATTTAATATCTGGTTGATATGGACCTCGAATAACTCTTTCTTTTAGTTCAAGTCGAAATGATGTACAAACATTTGAAGGGTCGTCAGGGTGAATTAATGGGCCTGAACTTGTACACTGTGTTTGATTTATGTTGACTATAGTGCCTATAATTTATAGTTACCTTAATGTTAGCAAATAGAAAATTCAACAATGAAAATAGCAACATAAATACCTAGCACATATATTCTATATCTAAGATATCAACCACCAGGACAATTTCAAATGTACTATGTACCTACTATTAAATTATAAAAACAAGCAACATAAGAAGCTATATAATATGTAAATATAAAGTATGGAGAATATTAGATTAGTACCTTATAAAAAATAGTACCATAAAAACAAT